CTTGTTGCCTGCTTAGACTCTTGGCACTCTTAGGTGAGCAGACTTAGTCAGCCTGTGTTGCCCTAACAAGGTGTTCAGCTTGCATTCCCTGGATGAGAATCAAACACAAGCATCTTCAATATCGGGCAACTGGAGGATTTCTGATAGCTGATCTGAGAGCAGATCATAGGGTGCTTGAAGGTGAGGTGTAGGTTGAGAATGATGCTTGAGAGAGGATGGGGGGTGAAAGAGTGTTTGTCTGCATCTCAGACAGGTATCAGGGCAGTTGGGTTGTGTTTGGTCTGGGTTGATCAACCAGCAATCTGGGCATATGATTGTCTTGGCAAATTGATTCTGGAAGCCTCCATGATTGTGTATGGTCTTCAGAGTGATGGGGAATTTTTGGTGGGGTGGTCAATCAATTTCATGGTCCAGCACTCCATAGAAAATTAAGAGATAGTTGACGACAGCCAGGACAAGGTTGCATCCTACGTACAGGAGATGGAATACCACATGCAAATAGGTGACAAGGAGGCAAATGACTCGTGCCCCGGGATGGTCATGGAGTTGATCATATCAAACCGCAGGAAGATTGTGGAAGTCCGTGCCTTGTAGAGTGTGGTTGGGAAGCAGGATTCCCAGTGAGTCCACGTCGATCACGTCATCCAATGTATCCGGCTGGCCCTCCAAATGTACAGCAGCTTCGGTTCCAGTACCATCAAGCCACCCCTCTTCAGCTAACCCATCCTTCTCTCCGTCAATCACGTCCTGCCATTCACTCCACGCTTCGCTCTTGAACTCCCATCCTCTCTCATTCTCCTCTTCCTCAAATGGCTCCGGATCGAGAGCCATGATCTGGTGATCGAGGTTCTCCAGTAGATTGCCGATGCTCTGTTCATCCATCGACTCGAGGAGGGCATCCAACATTTGGTTGACACCCGCAAAAGCTGCCATTGAGTCAGGTGTTGAGGTGGGTAGATAGGGTGGAGGTGTATCCTGTCGAATTGAATCTTCGTAGCTCAAATCTTGGAATATTGTCTTGCAGGTGGTGGGGAAGGCAGGCTGGCTGGATGTGGTACGCAAGGATATCGTATCAAGCAATGGGCTTGCTGGGGCAGTTGCCATCCCTACATCGAGGAATATGTCATTGTCCATCTGTTGAGCAGGTTCATTCGAGCCATTCATGTATGAGGTGGGTAGGGCAGCCTCTTGAGTCGAGGATTGGAATGATGGCGCCTGGCAAGTCAGGACCACTGGACATCCAGAGACAGTAGGAGTTGATGGTGCAGCCTTAGTGGGGGGGAGTCTGGAACACATTGTTTGGGGGTTTGAGGCATGCTTGCGATAGGTCTTGAGGCTCCACCAAGATCTCCCAGGGGAACCTGAATGTTGGACGCACTCAGTGCACTTACAGACTATTGGCAGCTCGGTCTTAGGACCCATATTATATCAATGGACCAGAAGTGTGCTGGTGGATGGTATGTCAGCCAACTCTTCTCAGCGCCAGCGCAGGGCATTGACATTGAAAGACCGAGTGCAGTTCGGTGTGGTGGTGGCGGACGTCCGCCAGCTGCAGCTCTTTGGGTCGTTTTACTCTGACCCCAATCGCCATGTTTGTTGCCCCGTACACTGTTTGATATGGCTGACTATTCCCAGGACCTGCGGGTCAATCCAATCCTCAAGTGGAACCTGCAAGACGTAGGGGAGTTTCTCCAATGTTTCGGTTTCCTTCGTAACTACAGTACGGCGGCTCATAAGCAGTGCACTGAAGACCTGGATGAACTCCTTGCACGGATTCCCGCAGGGGGGCAATTCTCCTTCGTCAAGGGTCGGGAATGGAGGGCTGCAGACACCCGTACTGAATCGAATTTTATAGATGTAGAAGCACCATCGGCTAAACGCCAAAAACGCAACAAGAAGGGAACGCGTGGATCTAAGGCCAGAGATCGTCGACACGGAAATGGCGAGCAATGCGACCGTGGCAGCGGTGGATCTCTTGAAAGTTCTGAACTGCCGCATCCCCGACTACAGTTCCTGCCATACAGTAACCGATGGGTCGACTACTGGAACTTGGAGGCAATGACGTACAGAGAAGCAATGGAGGACCCGACTTCGTGGTTGGAAGACCAAGAGGTGGAGGAATACGAGAAAGGAAGGCAGGAGTGGGAGAAAGATCGTGCAGTATCCAGCGGTCAACCTTCTCTTCCTCTGACAGAAGAAGCTCTCGAAGAGTATATGCTTTCGCAAACCCATACAACTTGAACTCTTCCCTCCGCCCTTGCTCTCAAGCTCCTCCCCCGTCGTGCCGTCAAACCTCCTCACTGCCTGCATGCCGCTACGCTCGCTACCCTATTTTCCCCTCCAGCACCGAACGCCGGTTCAGACTGCTTGGGGTAGTACGAGCTCGCGTGCATGCAGAGTATGGAGTGTGGTGCGTACAAGAAAGGGGTTCAAAGCAAAATAGGGCTGAAAGAGGGGTGCCAGTTTGACAGAGAAGGGGGGGATGGACGAAGACGTGCTGCGGGAAGGAGAGGGCAGTCTTGAATCCTGTCAGAAGGTTGCGTTCTGTTCACTACGCTCTCGTCCTTCCCGGATCTGACAAACCTATTCTGTGTCAGATCAATCTTATGTCGCCAGTTGCCTGACACTCGACCTCTGTTACTCAGTTTGGGTGACGACTCGGCATTCGAAGACTCGGCAGCAAAGCAGGCAAATAACTGCGCAAGAGCGCCAACTCTAGGACATGAATGCGATCCTAATCTCCTGATCTAGTATTTCTACCTTCCTAACTTGCTTGCCCCTCCCCAAACCCGGCCTTCCCGCCTGCTCGCCTTCACGACTCCGCTAAGTATGGGCAGAGCCAACGATCGAGTGAGGGGAAACACATGGTTAGCTAAGAAGGAAGTACTGAAGAATTCTGATCTGCTTGTCTCGGCTAGGTAAGCTGCGCCGATCTGCGCTGGAGCAGGGGAGAGGTTGCGTCTCGATCGTCATGCGACGGGCGGGCCTCGGGCTTCACGCGCGGGCTTCATGCCTGCATTCGCGAACGTGCGACTCCCCTGCTTCGGCCAACTGCCGCATCCAAGTATACAAGCTCTTTACCCTGCTGGCGCTGTCTTTTCTCCATCGGGTACAAGCATGCCGCTCAGGTTTCCCACACCAGCAGCCGAGTCCTACTCGAGGAGTTTATCGCCAGACAGGCTGAGAGGCGCGCATCCCTCCAGCTAAGAGGATCGAATATGATACACGGCCGCCCGTCTGAAAATGCCCTTCCATGCCAGGAGCCAGGAAGAAGTCCTGTTCTAGCCTTAACGGAAACATACTGTACAGAAATAGGATATAGCGCGTTGGGCTGAGAGAACGCTTCTAGTAAAACACACGTTTGGTAAGGTTTGGCAAGGGCATCCTGAATCAGACCGGAACTGTATAGCTGCGGCCAAGGCACGCAGCAAGCCCGGTCATTTCCAGAAAAACACGTCATATGTCACGTGCACAATCAAACAATACAAATACGCCCTTTCCGGGGTGGTCTGACCCTAGGAGAACAGTTCCCACGCGGGAGATGACTAACCGGATAGAGCGTGAGGGATCAGAAGCAGAAGAGGTGCTGCGGCCAGGGCTGAGGGCCGATCCGAACCCCGAGGCTTTCATGACCGGGTCGGCGTTGGGTATAGGTATGTGCTTTTACTGAACTGGAATGGACAGGAAGGCTTTTCATACAACTGAGGGGATTAAGCTGGAGGCTGGCCAGTTGGTAAATTGATTGGGCCGTTGGCGGCGAGGATTCGCTGGAAAGTAAAGTAAATTGGTAAGGGTTGAAAATGCTTGGCGACTGCGATCTCCTGCGCACTTCGATGATTTCTTTCCTAGCCAATAGCGTACTCGTATTATAAATGACAATAAGTGACAATAAAGATAATTTCCAGATTGTTTTTGTAAGAAGAACTTTGTTGTGCGCAGCGCGGGAGCTAAAAGGGCCATGATGAGCTGACCGACCAATCAGAGCTTGCCTTCGCCGCCCCTGGGCTGCGCAGTCGTTCGCAGTCACTGTCGCAGCAGCCCCCCTCTCCTCGACCTCCAATTGCATACTGCGCTTGTCGCTTTATCGTTCTCCATCGTCGACCACGACATTGACGGTGTGCACAAGGCAGAAGGAAAGGCGGTGAGCTAGCAACTTGCAGCGATTACCAGATACCGACCAACGCTGACGGTCATGGCCAACTCCGCCGCCTGACTGGTCCCTACCCAACCACAAACAACAGCTCTTCGACACGAGCAGAGAACAATACCCTGCACTGCCTACTCTTGCATTTACTTTCCTGATCAATCATGTCGGATCCCCTTGGTGTACTGGACGATGAGCCCGGGCCTTCTCGAAGGAGACGAGGGGAACCGCTGGACTTGCATGAACGGGTGCGTCGTATCTCGACGTCGATGTATGCGCTGTTAACGTGTGAACAGATGATACTCGCCCAACGACAGAAGAATAGAGATAGGGCAACAAAGCAACGGTACGCTCTCCCATTTCTTAACTCAGGTCAACTCACAGCAGAGCAGCGAAGACAGGCGTACACCGGAGCCGTCATCCCCGCAAGCCCCGCCTCCTCCTCTCCCGCCCTACCCACCACAGCTCCTCTCTTCCCCTCGTCAACCTGTACGACCACCTCCCCCTCAAGCACGCCCTCCCCCTCCAGTACCGAGGAAAGACCCGTATGCGAGGGGAGCGCCGGCGGGGAGGCTGTTTGACCCTGCTTCCGATCCTATCCCTGTTGCTCCTCCTGCTCCTATAACCGGCACACCAATAGCACCAGGGATGGCAGCAGGAGCAGGAGCAGGCCTAGGAGTGGGCGTAGGCACGCACGGTCGACCACTCCCAGCCCCTCCCAGAGGATATACGCAGCCGCAGCCCCCTCCTCCCCCTTCCTTCTCCCCGGCACATACCAACGCGCACTCTCCCGCGCAGCATTCCCGACTGTTCGATCCAAGCAGGGACGACCCACTGCGGTTCAGCGTCCTAAACCGGGGTCATGCTGCGCCTGCGCCCTCCCTCCCCCCCTCTCAGCCAAACACGTCCATTCTCCCCCCCATACCACCAAGTCTCTCCTCAACGCCTATGGGCCCCCGGTCCCAAGCAATATCCCGCAACGCCGTCCTCTCAGGAATATCAAACGGCACATCCTCGAGCCTCTCCCAGTCTCTCCTCGGTTCCAGCGCAACAGGGACGACCGGCACGACGGGGCACACGTCTTCTAGCGTACTGCTCAGCACGCCCGCGACGAGCAACTACCTTTCCGGCCTTGTACTCCCCCCTGGGGCGCTCGTAGGCCCCCACGCAAAGGGAGTTATACCCATGCCACCGCCGAGCGCGTACTCGGGGTCAGCGGGGTCGGTCGCATATACCAGCGCTTCGAGCGTGAGCACCGAGAGCAGTATCCACCTTTCTGCGCCTCTTCGATCTGAGCGATCAGGGGACAGCGCACGCAACGGCCTAGTAGTGAAGATGAAGAAGCTTTATGAGAATATCACTGAGCGCGAGAGGGAGTGTGAGAGAGTATTGGGAAGAGTGGAAGATCTGGCCCAGGAGGCGGGCTTTGGGAGGGAGGCGAGGAGGCTGGGAAAGGAGAGGGAGTGGGCGGTCTCGAGGGAGGAAATGGAAATGGAACGCAGGTGGTGGTTTAGTGTCGTCGATTATCATGAAGAGTGAGTCGCTGCTTCCCCTTTCGTTGAATGGGGCATTGCTGACGCGTAAACCCAGGCTCGCAGACGCACATCACGCGATGTTCAAGATTGGCCTGCACCCACTCACTGCCGGCGCCCTCGAAAAAGTCATAGCGCGGTACAACCTCCCCACGCGTCTGTGGCAGCGGGTCTGGCACCTTCTCCGGGTGCTCGTCGACCGCGCCCGATCACCGAACCCCCCTCCTCTCCCTACTTCCCTCACAAAAGAACCTATCAGCACCTTCCGCTCCCGACTCACCCCTGAACAAGTAAGCAGCATGTCCCCTTGGGCACGCCCGAACCCTCCAAAACGACCCGCCAGCACCCACCTGCACCTTACACCCCGCCTAGTAGCTGCCGAGCTCGTACAAGTCGCTTTCGCCTGGGCTTGGGAACTGTACGCCGTCCTCTGGGAACAGAGGACGATCGTCCATGTTGAGCAGATCAACCTTAGTGTCTGCTGGAGCGAGGCCATGGGGGACCTGGCGAGGTTTAGGATGGTATGGGCTAAGGAGCGGGAGAACGATGTTGCTCCGCTGCTGGTGGCGAGTGAATCTGGATCTGTTGGCTCACGGTCGGCGTTTTCCGCTCCATCGGCTAGGGGGCACCTGGACGAAGATGAATATGGGGAGGAGGATGGGGAAGGGGAGGGAGATGGGGATGTGGACATGGACGAAGATGAAGACCATATGTCGCTCGACGCTTCCTCTGGTCGGCTGCTCCAGCCCCAACCCCGCCACTCCCAGTTTCCTCGCAAGCCCTTACGATCTTCCAACCTCCAGCGACTCACTACGCCCAATAATGCTGCTAGCGCGTCCCACCGCCCCTTCCCGCTCCTGAGCCAGTCCCCAAACCTCCCCTCCCATTCTCCCCTTAACGCCTTCGTCAACTCCCACGCCGCACCAGTCATGGTACCCAGTATCGGAATGGGCGCTGTAGCCCTTTGGCCCCCGATCTTGGACACGGAAGTGTGGCGGAACGTCGCGCAGGAATGGTACTGGCGTGGCTTGGGCGAGATGCCAGGCGTAGGAAGGCTGCAGCATCATCTTGGTCTCCTGGCACAAGCTGCGCAGACAGAAGGTAGCAATGCGCTCGAAGGCACCGAGGCCCGCGTCGCGTACCATTTCCTCAAGAGCTTGACAAGCTCCCAACCGCACGTGACTGCTCGCGAGTCCGTCCTGTCACTCTTCAGCGTGGATAAGCAACGTGCGCGTGCAGCACCGGATGCGACTACCTCGGAGCTCTTCGTCCTCTTGCACGGCATTCTGTACACTCGTGTTCAGCTCGACGACTTCGCGCCCACCAAAGCGAGGCTCGACGAGCGCCTGCGAATTGAGTTGTCCGACATGGACACTGCGGGCAACGTCAGTGAGAGCGAGTGGATCATGTGGGGTGTCATGTGCCTCGCCGCTTGTGCCGAGTACGGAAGAGAAGAGGGGGTGATCAAGAAAGCCGAAGGGCGGTTAAGGAAGATGGACAAGGAGGATGCGGATGAGGACATGGAGGACGTCGTCGATGGCGTTGCTGCTCTTACCGCCGACACCAGTCAAGATACCGAACCGTTCCCACTCACGTTCCGCCTTGCCTTGAAGTTCACGTTCGATCTGCTCGCGATCGTGCTTGAGCATCCGTACCACCTTGCACCGCCCTACTACACGCCTCACCTCAATCCTTTCATCGTCATGATGTTCACCTACCTCTCCACCATCGCAAAGTCCAGCAAGGCAATGACGATCGTTGAACGCTACGTGCCATGGGAGCAGCTAGCTCGTTTCGTACAAGGTCATGTTCAGCGCATGTCTCTCGGAGACCATGAACGTGCTGCCAAGCTGCGTGCGGAGAAGCCCAACTCTGGTGGGATCCTTCCAGAAGACTGGGCGCTGCGTGGCATGGACTGGGTCACTCGGCGGGTCTACCAGAAGGGCTTCTGGGACAAAAGGCCCCCCAAGCCGGAAATTGTATATGACGCCAAAGGACGACCGACCATCAAGGGCGTGGCGCACGAGCTCGTCTCTGGAGAATCGGACGTTCTAGCCCTTGGTGTCGAGTCAGCGTTTAGCTCGCCTTCTGCCCCGGTATCTGAGCTTGTCAGAGATGGCATTGTGGAAGATGAAAGTGAAAATATGCGGGACGCCTGGATCGACTTGGCAAAGAGAAGATGGAAGCGTGTCATGGGTGCCTCTGCCATGCTCGAAAAAAGGATACGTGGCTGGCAATGGGAGGATGGTCGTGGCTGGGTCGTGGGCGGGGAGCTCGGAGACAAGCTTGCCGCGTGGCGCGAGGAAGATGAACGCGAGCAGAGAGAGAAGGAGGAGGAAGAGCGGAGGCTCAGGAACCGCGCCTGTAACGATGACATGGAAGCGGATCAGCAGATACCCATCGCAGAAGCTGATGACGAAATTGATGGTGAAGTTGACGAAGTGGTGCAGGCCCTTTTGGTGAGTGTTATTGATGGTTCTGGCTTTTGAAAGCCCGCTTATTAATATTGAACCAGGTCCAGCGCACGTCGTTACGCGATCAGCTGGATTCTCAGCAGCGCCTGCTTGTCGGCCGTGCTGCGCGATCCACCTCGTACCCTCCCATTTCGAAGCCCGCTAGGGCGGCACCGCTGTCACGGGTCCGGCGGGACTTACAAGTCGAACGCGGCTATACCATTCTTGTGCTTGATACCAACGTTTTGATTACGTCTTTGCTCCAAGTTCAAAATCTTATCGAAGGGTTGCGATGGACGGTTGTCCTTCCTTTACCTGGTACGTCCATATGCTTTTGGAGTCATCAGCTCGTTCTCATGTCGCCTCCCAGTCCTCGCTGAGCTCGATGGCCTCCGTTCTCACCCGAGATTGTCCGATATGGCAACGCTAGCTCTGGAGTACATAAAGAGCCACGTTCGAACACATTCGAAGTCTCTCAAAGTGCAAACCAGCAAAGGCAATTATCTTTCTAACCTTGCTGTCACAACGGAGGTTCTCGACTTTAGTGGAGCCGCCCGCAATATCGACGGGCTCATCCTGGATGCCGCGGCATGGCAGTTGGACCACTTCGTTGATCGCACAGCCATCCTCGCTACCAACGATGAGATGGTGTCCGAACCGACAGAGCAGACATCAAAGGTGGTGCTACTCACCTTCGATCGTAACATGCGGCTACGGGCTCGCAGTCGGCAGCTGGATGTCGCATCTCCAAACGAAGTTGCCGCTATCCTTCTTTCAGACTGATTCGCGTATGATTCGCTTTGGACTTGAGATATCAAAGGATTCGTGAGGTTGCACTAGGCAACATGGCGTTTGAGGTTAGAAGTTTGTTTCGTTCATCAATCTTTCAGTACTAGCAATGCCTTTTTTTAGCTTCTTCCGAGGTCTCGGTCATTTGTTGTACTTCTAGCACTATTTCTCATCAAGTAATGCATGAATTGTGCGGACCTTGAGAGCCATGCTTGCCGCATATATGATGAGGATGTTCACTCCATGTTCGGCTCCACGTGAATGTCTTTCTACCCAGTTTCAACACCGGTTGAATTTGTTATCTGACCAATTTAACCTTAATATATGGAGTAATGCCTGCTTTGGTCAGCCGCTCGTGCGCAGAATAGTACTCTCGGCGTTGACGGGTTTACCCCTCGGATCCTTTGTTCTGGATCCAAGCTTTCAACATATCTGGGAGCAGATCTATGTTGGTAAAAGGAGCGAGTGCCGAAAACGGTGATGCTCCGCGAAAGTTTGGCCGACCAAAAGCGCAGATGTCGGCCCTATTCTCGGAAAGTGCCGCATTGGAATGTTTTATCAGCTTGTGTTCCGGCATTTGAGGGGGATCCGTAGTCTATCAGGCACGGATGTGCTGGCGCCTTCCCTGGACTACCAGTACTTCGGTGTCGATGAAACAGAAAGGGCATCTTTGAGATGCACAAAGCATTGTACGGAAGTAGCCATAACGGACTAGTTATTGAAGCTCCGCTCCAGTTTCGCGCTACAGAGAGCAAGTTGCCTCGGATTTTACAACGGAAGCCGATTCTAATCACCTCGTTACCACAAACCAGGGACAATCTTGGTATATCAGCACAGAGCTTATAAAGCACGTGTACCTGATATGATTCTAATCTTCCAGAGGCTTCTCAAGGATCTCGCCGCTGTCAACAGGGCACGAAAGATTTAGAGTTCAATTTCTGTTGTTCATGATACAGATCTGACTAGCAGAACGAGAAAACCGTCTGCAGTCGGGTAGTCGGTTAGGATAGCGGTCCAGGCTTTAACGATGGGCAAAGTCTGGAGGATGCACAGGTCCAGCTGTATAATTGTCCGGGTAAGGAACCCTAGCGAGGCAAACCGAAACCTCTCGGAGGGTTTTCACCTCGCGCAATCGCTGCTTGGCAATCGGGACATGGGTAATCGTGGCTCTTGTGTGTGAAGTTTTGCGGTGCGCGAAATTCACTCTATGGTACTAGTCAAGTCAAGTTTAATAGCTTACGAACTGACACTCACATAGCAATCGACACAATTCGTTGGGCAGGTATCGGGATGCCAGCGTGAAAGCCTGCACCTGATTGAAACGCTAAGTACAGGATCGAACCGTAGCGGCTGTTTCCGGGTAGCTCACTTTCTTTGCCCACACTCGAACTGGAGTAGGAAGTCAGTGTATTGGAAACCATCGTTCAAAGAAGCACGCATACTGGATATTCTTCATCGAAACGAGTGTGCCCACAGTTCCATTTTGTAAAGAGACGATTCATCCAACACATGTTCTGCGGCGGTGTTCAGTTTGAGTATTGAGACCCCAGTGTCAATCCATCACACCTTTCTGTGAGCGAATGTGAAAGGGGGTAAAGGAAATAAGAAGATTCAAACAAGTAGCCGCCACTTGGTTGAACAGGGAGGGGTACGGTGCCGAGTGAGGGGAGTCGATAGAGCAGCATCCCTTTCGAAGAGCCTCTTTTATGGTGTTTGCGTGAGAGGTCTCAAAGTGGGGCAAAGACTGCAGGTCTTCTCAGGCAATGCCCCATGTGGAAGCCGCGGATATCGCCGGCATTGAGGAACCAATGTGCACATCGTAGTTCCGGTGCGGAGGTGACCGATGTGGCGAGATGGGTGCTAATACCAAGGAGAGGCAGTCGAGCCAGCGGACACTTCCCGGGCAAGACGGTGAAAGGTGCCAAAACATATGGCCCCTCGATGTTGAAAGCCAAGAAATCGTCCATACTGAGGAATGAAGTGCGGCCATCGTGGCTCACGTGCGATGCATTTCCCCACAAGGAGGAGTCAGTTGTGAACACCTACTTGGGAATGAAAAGGATCTCGGAGATTGGGCATCCGATTCCAAGCAAGAAGCAATCGCAGTATGCGCCCGTGTCACAAGGACAATCGGACGCCGCCTAGTGGAACCCAGGTAAAACTAGGATCTCCACAAGTCTTCTAGAACCAGGGATAATTCAAAGTTCCTTCAGTGGATCCCGCTCGACAGCGCCTCCAGCCCACAGTCTATGTTACGGTCGGGTCGGATATGTGCAGCCGCGGATGTGACATGGCGCTGGGAAGACTGAGGTCTCCCATGATCTCGGTGCATCATTGCATGAAGGGACCCGCAAGCACCCTGATTGTGCGATAAGAGAACTTCAGCTGTCAGCACCTATGCAAGACAGAAGAGATCGGCTTGCTTTCTAATGGCCAATTCCAACTCCCAGGCTCATGCCACGTGGAAGGTGATTAGCCAAGAGTGGGAGAGAAACAAGAGCTTCCAGTGCGCCTGCAGGTTTCAACGCCTCACACAGGTGGGAAAAGACCATCGTTCTGCAAGCGGTGCGCAAGTATATATCTTTTCCAGAAGTAGCATGTTCGAAACGACCGCTTGGAGGCGATCACCTAGGGTGCCGACAGCTGTGTGATGTTAGAAGCAAGAGGTAGGAAATAACGTTTGTCTCCGCAGATTGATAATATTCTTCTCCGCAAAACTGCTGGCGCCCGCCATCATCCTTCTGATCCAGGCTCAAATACATACATTGAGGACCTTATAAGGAATTAAGGTGCACAACACAATGCCAAACGCTACAGGCTGCGGTAAACTTACCTGGACCTTAAAGGGCATTCTCTATATCAACGATAAGCGTTCCTGTGGGCGTGGTGAGCGGGTCGGCAAAGTTTATCCGACAGCGTGCCTAACACGCGGAGAAGACTGAAGGCCCCCACAACCAGACACTTTTCATATCAGGGTTCTGCCCCGCGCATACCAGGCATTCGTCACGGCTGTCTTCCTGCTTTCTCCTAAAGCCGATGACGTCTTCGGAGGCACGTCGCCAGGTCCCAAACGAGTTAATCTCCTCTGTAAACCCTACTACGAGCTTCGGTCTAGTCAGAATTGATCGGGAGATTCGGATGGGCTTTGAATTATTCATACCGCAAATCTATCACATTCGTCTCATCGCCGAGGCGTTCGTGTGTTCAACATTTGAGCGAGCTTCCCACGGCAATCCGATGGTCGCGAATCCATGCCCCGGCCCCGGTGCGGCGGGCGGATGTCCTAAAATCCCATTGCAACGTCTGGGGGTGTTGGGTGTACCTTGTGATGCGCACCATCCGGAGAACGAATGCTGATCCGAAAGCAGTCGTAGCTGGCCCGGGCCGGACAAAGGCCTCTTAGCGCCATCGGAAGGTTGCCCATGGGCCCTGGATTGGAATACCTCGGTGAATGCGTTTTTATGGTCAGCGTTCCCATCAAGAGTGTATGTTTGAGGGTAACAAGGAAAGGAGGCCCAATCCGTGCAGAAAGAGATGGTTCCCCGGTGTCTTTTTGCTCCTCCACAACGAAGCAATGGGGCCTGCCTTCACCCTTACATGCCGCCAGCTCGCGTATTCCGTGTTTTGTTGCTAGCAATCGATTCGCTCGCTGGAGTTCACTTAGGCATAATTAAAAAAGCGCGCCCTGGTACCTGCCTCGCGTTCCAACAAAAGCTTTATGAGTTATGAGGCCGAAAAGGGACAGAAAGTAACCATTCCCACAATGAACACTTGTGTCATTCAGAAGCAGGTTTTAAACATTGACGGTGCATAGTCAATAACACAGCCAGGGTGATGGGCAGTCATATTATGTTAGGATTCCGTTGTGTCATGCAGTGATGTGAAAGACCACTGAGGAAAATTAGAAGACGGCGTCGCTTGGTGGGTTTCCAATTGCTCACCAGTTGTATGGCATCACTTTCCGTACCAGAGGAAGATAATGCTCCGAGATTTTCCACGCTGAACTTGTCTGTGGAATTGTCGAAGGTATAGGACCATACTTCCGTGAAAATTCTACCCCACTCATATGTCAATGCTGGCGTTTTGTAGAGGGAGAGTCAGCTCACCGTTACGTGCACCATTGATAGCTCGCCATAAGTTCCACTGTGCATTCTGCAGACCCTGGACAAGGTCCAAGTTCTTGCACCAGATGGGCGGCAACGCAGGCGATGGGTTCACGTCGACAGTCGGCAGCGAGGAATTGCAGAGCGTAAGCTGTCTAGCAAGACCCGCTGCCATTAGTGCTGCCAACTCCATATTACGGTACCGTGGTAACTACCCGTCTTGAGAACATATGTGTTGGTGTCATTACTGTCGAAGGCTGGATTGGCCACAACCATGCCGATGTTGGTGAGTAACCCTAATCGATCTCATTAGAAGATATGTCTTTACCCAAACTAGATGGTGGCCCGCAGTTCTGACCTCGCGGATAAGGCTGCAGCGCTTGAACTACCTTTGTAAGGAACTGCTCGTTCACATTGCTGCCGTAGAATGGGTTCCATTCCATGTCACTATTCATTACCTGCCCCGACAGCCAGTCAGACTCACTCAGATCTCGTGAGCATCGAATGTACGAGAAGACTCGCTTACCTCCACGGGTCTTCCATCGTCGAACAAGGATAGAGCATAGAACGACGCAGAATTATTTGCGTGAACTGTGGAGCCTCTGAAAGAATCAGACGAAACATCGCAGGTGTCCATAGGTTAAGTCCGCGGTTCTTACCCGTGAAATCCCGTATGCTACCGCTCCCTGTAAGCAGCGAACTACTGAGATTGGCTTGGGAGACGAATGTCTGCAATCGAGAACTGGCATTGGCAGCAGTCACGTTCACTTCGAAGAAAGACGCTGAGTAGTTTTCCCAGACTGCGGCATACTGTCCGGCTTTTGAGGTATAATTTGCTGGTATGAGTCCGTTGAGTGATAAGGCTTCTATCGCTCGCAAAGACGCAGAGACGAGAGCGGCTGCGGAAAGTGGATGGATCAGTGGCGGATCAGTGTCGGATCGGGCGGTAATGCTTACAATTTACGTCAAACGGATAATGTCCATATCCAATGCCTTCATTGGAGTCACTGTAGTTAACACGTCAGGATGGTGCTTCAGAGACGATCACATCAACATCCGCACCGCCAATTACCTACTGGCTGGCCTTCTCTCAAACCGATTAGATTGGTGATGTTTGGAGTCTGAGCGAAGGGTGCCGCACGCGCTAGATTGTAATCTATGTTCCTATATAGCGAGGGAAACACATTCAATAATGAGCTGTGTTGTCCGCTGTGCCAGCAACTCTCACCTTTTCAGCAGCGCGGCATAGGTTTCATTCTGAAGGGTAGCACTCCTTGCCAAGAACTTCGAAGAACGGCTTTACCCTTGCGGTAGATCCAGGAAGTAATGAGCGAGTGCGGGAAGAAGTTCAAGGTCGGTATCGATCATCCTCCTCGGTTGTGAGCAATCACCGACATTATCGCGAAGTCATGCTGGACCCATTTGTAATCACAGTACGGGGTGTTCCCTAGGTCACTCATATTGTTGCCCATGTTCACAAAACTGGCATAATCGCCAATTGTTTCCTCATGGCATAGTGCACCCGTCATGTTGGCCCGCTCCAAAACGGCCCCCAACGCAGCTTCGATGGCGTCAGATTGAAGAAGTGGCATCATGAGGCGCAGGGCGATCAACGAATCTCGCTACCGACAATTTACCAGGTAAGCTCTCGCGAAATGAAGAACCGTAGAAGACGCACTCCAAAATAAGTAAGGAACCGCCAGCCTCCTGCAGTGAACTTGTTCGAATATGTCAAAAATGACACCTCTTGAGCGTTCTGATCGGACCCGTTGTGCAGGCCAACAAGTGCATCCCGCAGCGCCGTATTGTTACTGGTTGTATTGAACAAAAACAATCCATCGGTATCCAAACCAGTCAAGCTTGTCTCATTGCATGGGACCTTCCATGCGGCGATACCAGGAAGGGTACTGTCGTTAAGCCGGATCTCGATTGTAGGGGGGCGTGAAAGTGCGTTGCTCCCGGGAGTGACGTTAAACCAGACATTTGACGCCGTTTGCAGCTCGACAATCAGGGCCTCGGTGCCGTTGATCCAGGGCTGATGCAGCCGGAAGTGTGTGCTATTGTAGGACTGCAACGTGTAGATGAAGATCTCATGCATCAGACCTCCACCTACACCCCGATGTGAGCCGGTCGCAGCATGAGCCAAAATGAAACTAGCGTACCTTCAACATAGTCCCTCGTGGCTCGTACTGCACCTATGACGGCAACTCCAAGCTGTGCATCAGTGGAGAAGCTCTCATCTGCCCTTTCACCCCGACATTGTCCCATATCTCGACCGTGGACGCAAGTGGTAGACTGGAGTGGACCAACTGCACATCAAGCGATGGTCCCGTTGTATTGGAGGTGGAGGCATTGACTGGAAGGAAGGATAGGAGGGCACCGGAATTGCCCGCCGGCATCGCCGTTACGAATCGTCTGGCCGTCGTCGTCGAGTTTGTGCTACTGAACAGTACTTGTGCTGAGGTGACATTGTCCCTGTAGAAGTAGTTTTCATTCCCTCCACTGCTGAGGTGAAAGTAGTGCGGTGCTTGATCAAGTGTTGCTCGTTTTGCCGGGGCTTCAAGTAGCTCCGAGCGTTCAAACGCTTCCAGACTCCACGCGGTCGAGGACCATAGGCCGCATGCAATGCTGGTCACCAGCAAAGTCCAAACCGTACACAATGAACATAGCTTCATGGTGGTCAGAAGCAGGTAGAAGCGCCTTCATCGCTCCCATCATTGTGAAGCGCATATAGCCAATTTGGGAGGAGCTCATTCATTGTTGAGAAGGTCAGGTGAGGAGGAGCTCAAACAAACAACGACGCGCCCCGTGGGGCGGCAATTGCTCCCGAAATATATCAACAAATAGTCCGGCCATACATATATAGATAATCCGAAAGACTACAAGAACACACAGAGAAAAGAAAGTCGTCGTGCAGAAGTACATCTACAATACAAATTCACGCAGCCGCGAACGAATTTCCCAAAGCAAACTGAGGAAACCACGTTAGAAAAGTTTCACCGACATTCCTCCTCTGAAACCCATTCCATAACCGCCAGCAGCAACACACTGGTATGCAACAGATCAGTATCAAGGAGCCAGTCCAACGAATGGATCCTGGTTACTCACACGTCCACTTGCAGCACAAAAAATAGTGGGTCCATTGATTTGACAAATACCACCGCCGATTCCCTGTAATTCGGTTAGCCTGCTAGGTATCACAACACATCTGGCACGAGATAACTGACAACTGCACACCGCCCAGCACCCATCGACTTTGCATCCACCAGATAGCTGTTCGCTGCGCATCAGCACATCTTCCAGCACATCATCTGACACTTACGCATCATAAGCGGCCCTTCTTTCTTCTTCCGGTCCAGGCCTCGCTCGTCGAAAAGCCTGCATATGGCCTGGTCTGGGCTCTGTCCTTTCCTGCCTCCCGATATCAGGGATTGAAGATGATATCTTTCCTTTGGCCGCCATTTTCCTAATCTGTTCCTGGGTTTTGCGCAAATCATCCGTCCGCTTACTCCGGGCATGCTCGACAGAGGAATTGTTCAGCACCAAGACCGAGTAATGCTCACTTGGATGAGTGACTTCGTCTTCGTTGTCTGAGTCATCTTCGCCGACAAGGGACTTAGCATCCACCGTAGCCAAGCGAGAATTGGTGGATCCTCGACGGCCAATGCTCTTCAACTTCTTGAGGGCGGAGTCAGTGGTTGGAGGTGCGCAACCACAGAGAGAGTAAGGGACGCCGAAGCGCATTCGCCACGCACGCGCTGTCTCGTCGAACGCGTCTGCTAACGCATTTTCCTCCACTTTATCGTCGTGATTGGGAATGTAGCCTAGGAGATTGTACGTTTCTGAGCGATATCGATCCGCAAAGAGCATATTGGTATGCCAAACAAGGTCGATATCAAGTGTCGGAACGGCTTTCAGGGGTGCTGACGCGCACAGATCGAGCCAAGCATGATAACGTGCAATACTGCGCACAAGGACCGTCTTGTCGGTTGAAAATGCACCTGGTCTGGTCCAACCAAGATCGACCATCTCCTTAATGAAAGAGCCTTGCCGAAGAGTCTATCCCCATGGTCAGCGAACGATCATGCTCAGAGCGCAGCGCGACTGACCGCGCCGATCAAATCAAGCGAGAATATACCGGCATGATTGTAATGTGATAACAGTCTTCCCCACCTGTATGAACAGCTTGTGTGTTAAACAGGTACGAGATCGGGGGAATGGAACACACCTGGACGGGGAGGCCGAATTATCAATCAGTCGCATTCCGATGCGCATACAGTACTCAACCTGTGCCGTGTTCCACTTGACTAGGTCCCCAATTGCTTCAGCTGTCTTTTGTTCGGGCTTTTTGCAGACACTCTCGAAGAACTGAAGTAGCCTCCTGTTGAGAAAGTACGATTTTTTGAAATCGGGAAGACCGGTGGTGTAATCGATTAATGTTCCGCTGAACATGAACAGTCAGTCTGCACGGCTCAGTGAAGTAATTGGAACACAGCGTACGCCAAAGATTCACCAGGTGATTTGTATTTAATCAACCACGTTCGTATGTTTTCCGCAAAACGCCGTACGCCCATTGCCTATGCAAATGCTCAGTCCCGAGGCACACGTGAAAGGGCCTGAATCCGGAGACCTCTTTGTCGAACTGGAGCAGACACGACTTGCAGGTCTGTTTAAACCCAGGCTGCCCAAACCCCTGCTGCTCATTATCATACCATGATACCTCGACGGTATTCTTGCATCGTGGACAAGGTACGTGAATGGTTTCAGATGGGGCAATTTGGTGCGAGAATGTGAACGGCTGTCCAGTAAAGGCCTCGAAGGTAAAAGTTTGATCGTGAGGTGGATCGAGGAGTCGCATTGTTACAGGATTGATAGAGGCTGCAAGTCGAGCAAGTGGAAAGAATCTAAATAGATTGATCGGCTCGGATCCGGGTATCTCTCTGCACACATACCTCATCTTAAGCAGTCGCCTCGCGCGCACTAGCCCGTCCTCGAGATATTCTAACGGATTCTGTGATAGATGTCAACAATATACTTTGTTGGGTGGGAGAAAACAAACCAGGTAGAATGCATGCCAAATCATAGCGACATCTAGAGGTGGAGTTTCTTCCCTCCCGAGCGGCCGATCATCCCGACCGGGACGAAGGAGCATTTTCGTGTACCATAGCTCGAATCGCCACACTGCACGGGATACAAAGACAACCCAGCGCTCAGTTTCCGACAGCTCATCCCAACTTGTTTCCGTCCCAGATCCAACTGTAACATCCTGTCGTAATTGCCAAAAGGCGCCGAGCAAGCGGAGGTGAGCTTCGACCTCAGAGAGCTTCACAAGAGAATGGGTATCATGGGCTGCTATCGGAAAGCTGCTTGGAAGATTAACAGGATATGCAGGAGGCAAGTCTGCACCTGGAGTTGGGAGGGTATCGCTGAGCTCGGTAGATGGATCGTAGTCCGGGGGCAAGTCGATCGGAGGTGGAGGGTCTTCCAAATCCAAGGGAGGTGCGAGATCGCCTAGAGAGTCATCCGACCTCAGAACGAAAGTCGACATTTGTTCGCAAACGAGATACAGCCAAATTACTAAGTTACTAGTGCGTGGAAATAGTGGTTCAGCGGAATGGCATGGCCTAAACCAGATGATGAGCAATCCATCAAGCTGGACATCAAGCTGAATGAATTGGGCGTCTCTGCGTTCCTGGCCCCGCATTCCTGAACTGCGAAAGGGGCGCCGGCAAGACCCTAGCTGTCATGTCGGAATTAAATACAAATGGGGGAACTAACAAGTTTCCATGGAATTACCATACCATTTCTACTGTCAGCGTTTTGATCCCGAGTCGACCCAGCACGAGCTCACCAAACTTCATCTCGACTGCATCTCGACTTGTACAATGACAATGCAACAGCAAATCATTGCTAATGTAGTACATCATGACCGGACGTGATCGATCAATCAGCATGGGGGAAAAGTGCCACCTTACCATTTATACCGTCCCGGCGTAAATGCTTGTCTCAGTGCAAGGGCGACTCCAATTTCGACCAAACTTGCAATGATGGTGAACACACCAGAGGCCCGCATCCCGCTAATTCGATATGGCGCAGTTGGAGTAGAACTTGAATTTCCAGTGTTGGAATCGGGGTCGATCAATGCCATAGTCACAGCTAACAATACGATACCTCCAAAGGAGAATACCGCGGATGTGAGGACGAAGACACGCAACGCCCTGCGTGCGTTCATGTCACGATCCAGATCGATAGAATCAGCACCGAGTATGATAGCTATGGAACCGGCAGCAATCGAACCACATACAAACATCGATGAGGTCCATGCGAGAAGAACAACATCACCACGCGTTCCCGAGAACACGGCTGACCATGCAACTGATGCTCCGAAAAAGGAGATGGCCGCTAATGTCGCGAGGTTGGTTCTATAAGTTCCAACAGAACTGAGAGATCCATGCACCGTGACATGCCCATCCTGCCCGATCACGCCTTTCTCGGCGGTTCTTTGTGTTCGAAGGGGCGTCTGACCTCGTCTCGTCGCACGTCGAATATACTCTCTTGTACGGGTCTCCGAAGTTTCGTCTATTCCTCGTAACCCCGGACCGAGCGTTGCAGATGTAGTTGATTGCGCGATAACTTCAGGTGGAGGAGCGGTTTCTGTCTCCCGAGATGTAATGACAAGATCGTCTAACGCTTCGAGCTGTAGATCGATCCATTCGTAAGCTAGTGCCAACCAGCGATACTCGTTTGCCACTTCTGGCGGTGCGACTTGCTGCCAGGATGATAATGGTAGCTTTGCGACGGAATTGAAAAAGGTCTGCCATCGAGGTGTCATATCCCACCAGAAGATCTGGAGATTGTCGATACCGACGGAGATGCGAATGTCAAGATTCTTATGGGCGGGAACTGTCAGATCGCGCATGCGAAGTTCTCGAAATTCCCGCCTGTCTTCTTGCGCATAAGCAAAGTTTCGTATCAAGACGTTTGTGCATGTCAAGGGGGATCTTTCGTAGATCTCAGCGCTCTCCGACAGTTGCAACGCGAACCAAGCGTCCTTGCTTTTCATCCATCTAAGAGTCTCGAGTTGTCTATCCAACTCCAGAGTAGGCGTGTCTCTCGAAAAGCCTTCCATGGCAGGCTTGTGTTGAATGGGACCAGCGTAAGTTGGGGAGACAGGAACAGGAGTTGGCGCCTCATTGGCGGGTTTCAGGCTTCCACTTGAGCTTCCAGCAGAGTGATGGAGAGACGAACAAGGTGAGCCCGCCGTCGTCGCGACAGTATGAGCATCGCCGGGGACGATAGAATCATTCTTTCCATCGTTGGAGGGTGGATTTCCCGCTCTTCTCTCCAACGACACCACGGCCTTCTGTCGCACTTCGGGCGGCTCAGAGTTTCCACCTTCCGACATTGAGTTTGGTTGGAGGGAGGGATGGTCCTTTAGCTGAGGAATTGTTAGAATGTTTCAAGGGAACACGGGGAATAGTGGACCTCCTCCGTATCCCCGCTCAATCTAGTGGTTTTATGCATCTAGTAGTATAGTTCAGTTAATGTCGACAACACCGTGCAATTCATGATGTCAACCGGCGTCTAATTGCGCTTACACCGCATTATGGCTGTGTGAATCGATTTCACATCAGACATGGGGCTCTTGATAAGGAGGTCCCTTCCGGTCACCATGCCAACATCCAAGCTAATATGTGATTACTAATACGGTTGCTCGTGTACCTACGAGATTTCACCCGGCTGTGTTCGTACGGTGGCAAGATAAAGGTCATCCACGGCTGTGGCTTGCCGAAGATTGAGAGGGGATTATAAAATATAGAGCGAAGCTGAGCAAGTACGGCAAGTAGAACATGGTGCTGTCCTTATTCGACAGCACGGCGTTGGTAATCGTCAGAGCTATCGGACAACAGTTGAGACATGTGTTGCAGATGCATCACGTAGAGACATACTTAAAAGACATGTTGAAGCAAGGAATGCTACCAAAAGGATGAGCTCCTTTCGCAATACCGGGTGAAGTGGGACGTGCCATCTCGATAGAGAACCATCATCAGCGGGGAAGGTTTGTACACTGGACTAGATAGCATCTTTTCGTACTCGCAGGAGAATGTCGACTTACAGTATCGAACTCCTCTAGCTACAGTCATTACAAAGATTACTTCAAGATACGTAAGTCAATTATCAAAACGCCTAGGAATGGGATACTCACAGCCTTCGTATACAGCCAAGCAAATATATGCCTTTAGGGCGGCAGAGGCGGTGGATGGCGTGTTCGTGGCCCCACAACCAGGTAGAGATGGGAACGCGGCGTTTCCATCTGGCAGCAGCCCAATCATGCTATACACCATGAAAGTCAGGACGACAACCGTCACCGAACACCACGCGATTCCGACAATGGCCCCGCATATTCGGCCGCGGTCCCATATTACCCAAGTACGCAATGCAAGGATGAGGCCGGCGCATAGAAAACCAATGACCGTTGTAGCTGAAGCTCAGCGGTCAGGTCCGAGAATTGTGCAAGACGATGGCCATACTCACATACAAGCCAATACATGACTATGCTACAAGACAAATTCGATACTGGATGTCCATATTCAACTATTTGCAGAGGATCAGAAGAGGGTGCGGGATAATCATCTAATATTGAGCTCACCGAAGAGGAATCCAACGACGTCGATCGAGCCGAGGTAACGTAAAAGGCAAAAGAGCACCTTTCCCGGGCTCCAACTGGCCTTCCAAACCAATTCTCTTTCTTGCTCAAAAGTCAAAATATAGTCATATATCTGTGGAGAACACTCTGGTTAGTATATAACTGCAGTCGGCATTGGAGCACTTACGAGAAGGCTAGCAGCGATGCCTGAGAAATCATGAGCAATGTTCTCCCAGCAGTTTGAATAACTAACATATACCATACTGAATGACGGTCAGGCCGTGTTTTCGACGTGAGGGAGCTGAGACTTACGTCTGCAGAGGTCTCAATCTGAGACAGCTGTTCCAGGATACCAGACATACGTTCTAGATCCTTGGATTGAAGAAGGTATAGTGAGTGCAGAACAGCACGTACCACTCAAGGTGCAGGCTTATATACCTATATCCAGCGCCTGCCTTATGTGTGAAGTCGCCGCTCGGACATGCACCGTTGCAGATAACCGGAGAAAATAAACGTCTAAACCTACGCCGGGCATTCCATAGATGAAAGTGACACGACTCTACGGGTTCAAGGTCCTAACACTGGCACGGCACGAGAGGAGACACAATGGAAGCACCAGTTGCAGCATCTGAAATCCATCGGGATCAGACACATAGGATATATGACGATTCCATCTGATAGATTTGTCCTATTGCCTGAAGTCCCACGGAGCTGTTCACAGACATTTTCCAGACGCATATTTGTTGCCACGTTCTTCTCTCTCTGATCGACAGCAACTGGAGAGATGGATTGAGCCAAAACATGTCTCCCACAGGACTTCATGATCGAGAGCCCCAAAGCATTGAGTCGAAAGCAATCCCCGAGCTTTCCCCACTTGTAGTGGGTGGCCGTCCCACAGATTCAGACAAGAGTACTAGTCTCTTTGCTGAATGATTGGACGGTGCTTTCTGCACAAGTAAATTGATAAGCACACTCTACAGGAGCTCGAGCAGGAAATAGTCTGACAGGAAGGACCGCAAAACCCTGGATCTAGTGATGTCATCAGAAGGACGGAGGCAAAGACTGTATAACTTTGCCTTCTCTTCATCGTTCACCTGTACCCGCGGCACAGAATCGATAAAGAGATATACCCTTATACCACTGCCGTGCATGTCAAAACCTTTGACAAGAAGAGGATAGACTATGCCACGAGCTGATCTCAGACGCTGAGCTCAAGTCGAAGACATCACGCGATGGAGTGACTTGACTGTTCGCGGCTATTGACGGAATGAATGAGATCGCACAAACAGATCAACCAAACAGAGATGCGCCACAAGACATGCGAACGATGAGACCAGAGCGCCCTTTATCAGCACATGATCGATCGTGAATTACAGACACCTGCCAAATATATTAGGAGATACGTCTGATTGGCAGCTACTTTCTTCTGTCTATTGTAACAGTGGCGTGTCCCAGACACTGAAATCTTATATCAAGACTCCTCCTGGTCGCTGGATGTCATTCACCTCCTCTTTCTCGTCGCCTCTGCACAACACTTGACAGACATGGCAAGCTCGGGATCTTTTTCACCAATCGAGGAGGTTGCAAATAACACCTTCGATTACATTATCTGCGGTAAGCCTCTCCCCGTGAGATACGTTTACACGCGCCCTGATCTTGATTCTTACCTACAGGTGGTGGTGTATGTTGAACTTGTAATGTTCTACGTGCTTGCTTCTCATTACTTCATAGACTGCTGGCTTGACACTCGCCGCACGCCTTTCGGAAGATCCTTCCATTTCTGTCCTGGTGCTCGAGGCTGGGCATGCGAACCTGGATGATCCTACGATCCTCGTTCCGGCGCAGCACTTGACCCAGGTTTTCGACGATCGCTATGACTGAAAGTTCTTCACCGTCCCTCAGAAGCATGCTAACAACAAACCGTACCTTTGGTCGAGGTAGACATCATCTTTCACTTGAGTTTAGATCATTTTAATAACCGTGAGAATTAGGGGGAAGAGCCTGGGTGACTCATCCGCGATGAATTTCTTCATCTATATGCGTCCGCCCATCAAAGACATCGATGGTATAATCCGTGACTACCACTCGTGGGCCCCTCACTGATGTTGTGGTAGATTGGGAAGCGCTTGGAAACCCAGGGTGGAACTGGGAGACCCACTTGAAGTACACGAAACGTGCAGAAAAGTAAGTAGTTCGTATCATTCCTGGCCACTAGCTTAGATGCACGGTACAGGTTCACACCTCCCACGGCTGCACAGACGGAGACCTTCCATCAGACGTATGATCCTGAAGTCGTTGGAACCGAGGGGAACCTTCAAGTGGCTTTCCCCAGCCTTATCATGGACGGAGAAGTTCCGTTCCAACAGGTCTGTTCTGCTGCTACCAAGTTGTTGTCTCGCGCCTCATTTCCATAGACCGTGAAGAATACTGGAATCAAGATACTCGATGGAGCTGCGGTAAGCTGACTTGCTCTTAAATGAGTCTCAGGCTGAAATCATGATAGCTGAGCGGCGATGTTGGTTACTTTGAGCCATCTTCTATGCATGGACTGACGACGATCAGGTGAACGGTGCATGGATGGCAGCCGCAACGATCGGTACAGAGGTTGCTCATCTACGTCACTCTGTGCATTAAATCCTCTCTAGATCCCGTCAAGAAGACGAGGTCGTATGCTGCCACGGCACGTGCCTCTTCATCCTTCTGATTCTGATCGTGTACTGAAAAGGATTAAGGCATTCTACCTTCCTTACCGAGATCGCTCCAATCTGAAGGTGATGGTGGAAGCGCACGTGAACAAAGTGCTCTTTGCAAGCGAGCGCCCTAACAACCTGCTCATTGCTGAAGGAGTCGAGTTCACCGTCGCCGGCACTAAGCATGTCGTCCATGCTAAGAAAGAAATGATTCTTAGCGCGGGGCAAGTGAGATCATCCTGTTTTCGCTGACCGCAGTGCCAGAGGTATCAAGTCGCCTCAAATCTTAGAACTATCTGGTATCGGGGACCCTTCCATTCTCACTCCACTGGGCATCGAATGTCTGAATCTACTCCCGGGGGTGGGAAACAATGTCCAGGAGTACGTCTTCTATCCGACCTCATTCGGTAAACAAAGGATTTTGAAGTTCCATCTTGCACTGACAACGCATCCTGTAGAGTTGAACGATAAGGAGAACGGGTGGAATACTCTGGATAAGCTGAGAAATCCCGAGTCAGCGAAGGCCGAGATGGCGCTTTTGTGAGCCGATATCTTCTTCATGCGGAGGATTCAACTTTGAACATGTTTATCTGACAGCAATGAGAAGCGGCAGCAAGGCCTTTACACTATGAGCCTAGCCAACGTTGTATTTACACCATTGCAGCAAGCGTCCCCGATCGCCAATGATCTCATCACTGCACTTTCGGTCAAGCTTGAGCAAGCTAGGAAGGACGGTCATATCAGCGATGCGCTGTGGGAACAGTACCAGATGCAGCTCTCTCTTGTCAAGAGTGACAAGGCAATCGATCTAGAGCTCGTCACACTTCCTTACGTGAGTTGTCTTGCCCTTGTTTCGAATAATGACAACTAAGCGTTATGAAGTACTGTACTACGACGACACCGCCCGAGGAAGGCAAGGCTTACATGACCATCCTAGCCGCTCTGAATAGCCCCTTTTCCCGGGGTAGTATTGTAAGCTAGATCCTGTTCAGTCGACAGTTCTCCTTCTCATAAACACAGCATGTCGCTTCTTCAGACCCAGAACAGCCTCCGCTCTGCGATCCGCATTACTTCGAGAACGATTTTGGTAGGGATATGGTCCGTTCAAGTAATTGTATTCGCGGGCTGAATCTCTGTCTAGACATGCAGGTTCTGGGGGAGGGGCTCAAGTTTATCCGCCGACTGCAAGACGTAGAGCCTTTCAAGTCCATGATCGGTGTGTTAAGCCGGGTAATGGACAGATATTTGATTCTGACATCTTCCGAAGTGAAGCAGATAGATCCCAGCCCCAAGCTACAGACTGATGGAGAATTGCGGAGTAGGTCCCGTGCATTGTGGAACACTGCTTTTACTTAAGCTCGTTTACAGACCACATTATTAGCGAACTGAACACCACATTCCGTGCGCAGTGATTATGTATCTCGCCACGCCTCTCATCGCAGATACTGCTGGGGCATGCTCGATGCTTCCTCGGGAGAAAGACGGCGTTGTAGATTCTAAGCTGAAGGAAGCATGATTGCTTGTTCCTGTAAGGGTGACCGGCTGATGTCTGCAAAGGTCTATGGCACAACCAATCTTCGCGTGGTCGACCTATCCATTGTTCCACTCCACATAGCGTTTCACCCTCAATGTGAGTGATGTTCAGTCGTCTTTTGTGATACAACTCAGAAGCTGTCGTAGCGACTGTGTACGGAATCGCTGAACAGGGTGAGTTTATTCTTTTTCTTGCCCAGCAGACAGTTGAAATGCATCAAGCCGCGGATATCATCCTGCGCAAACTCTGACCCATGGAAGGTCAGTGACAGAATGGGATGGGATCGTCAATATGGTTGCATTGCGTAGCAGAAATAAGATATTTTTGGTACAAGACATTATGATTCGAGAAACTTGAGCAGAGCCGACTCCCCCTTCTTCTGCAGTAGTCGCCGCACGGCTTGCAATCTGTTGATTTCCTCGAGGGGAAGAGAAGAGGCATCTTCCTCAACAGCCTTGGACGGCATTGCATGATTGTTTTGATGACTGAGCGTGCGCTTGAGTGAAGGCAATCTCAGCGTGAAGGATCCATCCTCCTTCTGCTTGACAGTGATGCCCGGCTTTGGTTGTGGGGAGGAGGGTGTAGAAGATACAATCATGGGGGATGACGGCCGAGAAGACTAAATCGAATGAGTCCCCGTATGAAATACGCATAATGACAAACAAACCGGTAACAACGCCATGTGTACATCGTTCTTGAGCTGCTCACGTGCTGAAGACAAGATGCTACCTTTGGCCACAGAACCAGGGGTAGCGTTGGAAGGTCTTGCAGAGCCTGTCGAGCTACCATTTGTCTTTGTGGCTGAACGAAGCACCTTGCGGGGCATAGGAGGTGTAGAGGGACGTTCGATTTCGTGATTGGTCCGATCTGTCAGAGGCGTAGACTGGAATATCCCCAGACCAACCGGAAGCTCAGGAATGTTCGGAGCAGTTCCGTGGCTAAAAGAGACCAGTATCTAGATTTGAAGTGAGCAGACCGTTCTCAGCATGTTGTCAGCACATTCACCTCGGCTGCATCGTGCTCGTTGATGTGTCTCTCCCCAACTTGTTGTGGTGGGGTTGACATCCCTCTGAGCACAGGAGAGGTTTCAACCGCAGATGGTGGGAACTTGTGGTCTTCCTCTAGCTGCTCGCTAAGGGTATCGCTCAACATATCCTCGTCCGACACAGAACTGAGGGAGGATAGTGAGGAAAGAGGAGATGAGAAGGCACTGTCGAGGCCGGCGGTTCTCGTTAATGCTGGATTGGGGAGTGGCGTCAGTACGTCGGTTGGGGCTACGGACGTGCGGACAGATCTAAGATAGGTTAACAGCGGCTTGAAGAGAAACAACAGGGGATACGTACTCTGTACCAGCAGGCTCTGGTCGCTTGCCTTGCAACGCATCCCAAAAATCGAGAATGATGGTCTTCTCCGGTATCCGATACCGCTTCCCATTAATGACGACGTTCTCCACTTTCATGGAGGACAGATCTTCCTCAGGGAAGATGACATCGATGATGCCATTATTTGGTTTATTTCGCTGGTTGACATCGACAGTCTTGACACCTTTAGCAGGTATGCGTTTCATAGGCTGTGAAGGCTTGTCAGGTTGTATCATCTCACTAGTGGATAGCACAAACGAAGAGCTGCTCCACATGTAACGGACACTGCCATTTCTTCCAATTCGCTGGCGGGTGCACTAGAGGTGGCTCCAAACAATCATAATGCCAATGCTGGCTGCAAAAGTCACAGGAAATGATCGGTCGCGTGATGGTTTTCACAGAGCCCGCGCGTGTCTTACGCTGTGCTTCGGGGAGGGTGACAGGAACGGCGGGGCCTTTGCATTTGTAGCATAGGATTGGTTTGCCGTTCTTGTCCTTCAGCCGGTATGGGTCGCGCTCCTCCACAGCGCCGTATTTGCTAGGAAAAAATGAGAATGCGGTAATGGGGGTTAGATTTCCAGCGCTCACTTTAGTCGCCCTCCTCGTGCTTGTCCTTGTTGTACATATTCACCAGTCAGGCCAGTAGTTACTATAAATCCATGAATACAAGATCATCATAAATGGGAATGGAACACACCGCTCTTGAAGTACTCGCGTATTGGGTCTGGTAGTTTGAAGATTTTGGGCGACTCGCTTTCCACCTTCTGGGCAAGTGCACCAAGAAATCGATTCGTTAGCTTGGGATGTGATTTCTACGTACCGGCTATGAGCACGCGAAGGGAGACAGAAAGCACGACTGCTCACGTGGTTATACAAGCACACGCCGCAGTACCACTTGTCCTCGGGGATGTCGTCCAATTCGACAGGGGGGTTCAAACATAAGAAATGGTAACTTCTCGTACATCCATCACAGCAGATAAACTCTCCGATCCCGCCGCAAGTCTCGCAGTAGTCCTTGTTCATCTGTATCTGAAAACGATCCCCACAGGGCATCAGCTGAAGTGCCACGTGTATGCGGCGAGGGGCTGGCTCACGGGTTCGCCCTCCTTGATAGGCTCTTTCTCCTTACCCTTGCCCTTATTTTCCACTTTTTGCCTCTTTGGCGGGCGCTCGGGGGCGTCATCCACCTCTTCAACGGCGTGTGTAGTGCCGGATGGACCTGCTACGGGTGGAGGAGGTGTGGAATGACTCCCTGGAGCTGGAGAATCCGTTGCAGGCCGGGATGAGCGTGTTACCCGCTGGACGCGGTTTACCGCTGTAGATTTTGCATTTGGCCTGATCGCACGCCCAGACACGAGGAGACGTGTTGATGTTGCCGAATGGTTATCGTGTTATTGTTATCGACGTGACGGGGCGTGACAGGGGACAAAGTGCATCCGAGGCGGGAGACGAAAGTTGCAGAAAGCAGTCAGCAAAGCTAAAATGGTGCAAATTACTCGACATACCCCAGCGCAGCCCCCCTTGTATTCCTCTTCGGCTTTACCGGTTCTCCTCCTTCTCCCAGCACCGTCGGAGGGGGAGTTTCCAAGCTGCCCGCCCCAGGCGGTAGGATCCCATGTCCTGTGTAGGTCGTGCCGAGGTCCACGCTGGGGAGATAACGGTTGGCGCCCGAGCGGGTGAGGATGGGCAGCCGCTGGCCGTGGTGCGACGAGGGGTTTGTCACGTAGGATAATGGAGGAGGGGCGGGCATGAGCTCTGTCGCGAGAGAAGGGTCAGACGTTGGGAGGTCGGCGGGCTGCCGTATGGCTGGAGGTGGGTTGAGCGCCGGAAGTGATAGGGGAAGAGAGGACATTGCGGGTATTGTGTATCACTTGAATAATGGTTAAGAGGGGTAAGAGCACCTTGCAAGATATCAGTTAACAATAGGTGTGCGGGCAGGGAAGAGACGTACAGGCAGTGCAGGATGATGGGACGGCACCGCGCGAGGATGCAGGCCACTCAATTTAGCACCCAAAGCGTTGTCCAATTTTCAATTTTGCGTGATTAATATCCAAGTTGGAGCGGACGTCCCAGGTGGTCGCCAGATGATAAAACGCGTACAATGTCCAGACAGTAATTGTGCAGTTAGCAAGATGGAGTCAAAGTGCTAGCGGACTGAGGGAACAGAGTAGGCACAGGTCATGGAGGGAAAGTAAGTGTGCCGCGCACGACGGGGCCTGCACGTCTGTCACCGTTCCCTCCCGACCGGCGCATCACAAAACCATGTACAGCAGTGATCAACACTAGGCCATCGGAAGTATGACGGTGGATAATGCGTGGATAAAATAGATTACACGCTGTGAGTATTTATCGTAGGAATCAACAGCGTCTGTAGAGTGCTGTGCCCGTCCCAGCGTCCATGGCCCACAGTCCGAGGGTAAACAATACACGGCCGTCGTCCAGTTCAACTCGACGAACAATCGACGCCCTCCTACCCACCGTGTCTGTGTCACTGTAGATCCGTATCTCATCTAGAACGAACAAACAATCAGTAAAGAGAGTCTTCTGCAAGCAGGTGACCTACGTAGACAAACCCACCGCCTGAGCCCCCCGTACACAAGCAACAGGCTACCAATCCTCCCTCTCCACATCCCCACTAACCATCCTCCCATACTCCACCAATGTCCTAAAGTACTTCATCAGAGGTACTCCCCACAAACAAGGAAAAATACACACGTAAACCAAGCGCCTTCAACGCCTTCCTGTCTTTGCTTGTCTTCCGCCCACTTACGGCCAGCTTGGGCAATCGCTTGGGCTTCTTTGTCGTGTGTTGAGAAATAGTGAAGGAGGGCGGGGAGGTCTGATAGATCTGGCTGGGTACAAGCAAGGGAAAGAGGATGTTAGCCACTTTGCAGATGTTTGGAGAACAGGAGAGAGGTGCTTCCTCCTAACGTGGGCATGGAGGTGCAGCCAAGGAAAGCAGACGTACCATCACAGGCACGTAATGCACCCAAGCCCTAGCCCGCTCTGTGGCCCAAGTCCTCCACATCCCCGCTCTGAAAACCAACGCTCCACTCAAGAGCATCTCCGGAAATTCGAATTCTTCGTTATCGACCGCCAAGTCCAGGACCCATTTATGCCGTGTTAGTGCGGGTTTGTCTAGTCCTGTAGAGGGTGAGGACGGAGGGGAGAAGGAGACGTCTAGCATGCCGCTGAGGGGCTCGGGCAAGTCGGAGAGGAGGAACCCACGGCCTCGTGCGAGGAGGGTAGGGGGCTGGCGTCTTGAAGGGTGCAATAGTCGTTGAATAGGATGAATCTCATCAGACTTCGGGAAAGGACCGCGCTGTGCCGTAGTTAGTACAGATGAGGGTTTTGGGGGGAGAAACGGACCCAGTAGAGAGCAGACTCCCGTTGTTCCCAGGGGACGTCGCCCTCCCTCCACTCTCCCCTTTCCCGATCATGCTTCACTTCCGCCTCTGGCCAGCGCATGGGCAGGATAAGATCCGTGCTCCCTCCTCCGCCTACGAATCCCAACACTGGAGCTGCCCAGCCTAGAAGACCCTCTTCGAACCACCCCGGGTTGACTTCCTTTAGCCACTGGTGGCGGCAGGGGTCGAGACCCTCCCTTGGCCAGTAGAGGAACGTGAGCCCAGGGGACGGGGGTGAGGAGAGCGTTGCTGGTGAAGAAGGAGGGCAGGAGGAAGAGACTCGGGAGGCGGAGGGGGGAAGGAGGAGGAGGTCGTTGTACGTGCTTTGAAGGGGTGTGCCGCTCGAGTGGGCGGATGCGAGTATGTCGTGTGTGGAAACGGGGAGCGCTTGACGTGGTCGGGACTGTTTCGACCGATGATGAGCACGGTATATGCGCGTAGGAGAGCAGTACACACCGCGGCGGAAATGGTGACCCGCATATCCTGCATCTGGGCTTCGAACGCTCTCACAACCGTCAACACCCCTGCCGCCCTCTCTCTCACTTCCTCCCCAACTTCATCCGTCGTGCCCCACTCTACAGTCACCCGCCCGCCATCAAACACGAGTGTGAAGGTGAGCGGCTGTGTTGCCATCTGGGACTGGAACCGTTGGAGGGCGGAGGCGGGGAGAGGGTCGAAGATCATGAGGTTTGGTGAGGGGAGGGGAGGCGGGTGGACGTGCCGTTGGGCCCAATGACGGTAAGCTACATATATGCGCATTCAAACGTCAGCAACGTCCGTAAAACAGGAAGAGTGCGTCACCATTCGGTACTGCTCTCCCCGCCTCTCCTTCCCTGTACTCGTCTTCCCACTCTGCCATATCCCCCACCACCCTCGCGCGTTCCTTCTCCCAAGCGCCCTCCGCCCTCTCCAATACCTCCGTCACCGGATGCTCAAACGCGTCCATCCCAACTCTGACCAGTCCGTCCGAGCCAAATGTGTGTGTCATCCCTTGAGGTAAAGACGCCTGCTGTGCAGCGAGGAGGGCGTTGTCGGCTCCTCCGTCGTCCTCTGTGAGGTGTGCGTCGAGCCATCCCAGCCGGGAGTCTTTCGTTCTGCTGGTGGAGGTCGCACTTCCCGGGCTGTCTGCTCGCCCTGAGCGTGAGTAAAGCGTCCATATTATCAGTCCCAGGAGGAGCAGAGTCCACAATCTGGGCGGGACAGCAGCAATTGTGCGCCTTATTGGGAGCGGTAAGGGCAAGGAGAGCAGGACCCGCTGTAGACGCTTCGAGATGCCCGACCGGGGGTGAGTGGTAGTAAGTGATTTGCCCACTGGCAAGAGCGGTGGTGGCATGTTGCTACTGTCGTTGTCGCCGTTCTTGTGGCCGTCGTCGTGGTTGTATGTGAGAGAGTGTGAGATAAGTGTAATCGACAAAAAGTACAACAAGCGCCCAATAGCGCTGTGTATGTTTTTCAGTCTTGGCTCAGGGCTGATCGCGCCCCGAAGACACGGAATAATTACAATTCTATGTATTCTATTTCAATTTATATCCCCACAGCCCTGAGCAAGCACAATTTATTCCGAACTCGTGTGAAAAAAGACATTATTAATAATTCAAGAAGTACAAGAGCGGTGATAGTGTACAGTGCTAAATGTCATCAATAACATGCCTTTCTCAGTCTCTCTCAGGCGCAGGCAAGCTGACCCCCGGCGGACATACCTGTCTAACGTTAACATTAATCCTCTTATCCGCCAAATACTCCGCAAACTCCTTCCACCCCTCTTGATCCTCATCGCCCAAGTCATCCCACATCCACTTAGGGAGCGTCCCCTCCAGCACCCGGGGGACACCATGGTACCACCTCCTACATGGCCCGCTCATCAGAAGTGCGTCCCCGCTCCTCAACAACACAGCTCGGGGCTCGGTCTCCCGCGTCGGGCCACCGATGAGGAATACACACGCGTGGCCGAGGGAGAGGGATACCAGCGGTCTCGTAGCGTCCAGTTCGGAATGGTCGATATGCGCCATCAACGTATCAGACAGAGAGTAGAAGTTGACGATCCCCGCGTCCGGGGTGTAGTCGTCTTTCCACCCTTGCCAACCGGGGGCGCTGCCTTCGGGTTCACCGTCTGAAGGGATGTACACTTGCTCCCAGGGTACAGAACGCACGACTCGGGTACAGCAGTCTGCTATGAGCGGGGGGACGGGAGGCGCAGGATGCGACAGGTCGTAGGTCTTCGATGTCCAGTGGTAGGAAGCACCCAGGCTAGCCCAGCGGAGCTTGTGTATCAGCCCGGACGCAGGTGCGGGGGAGAGGTTGGGGGAGGGCGCAGCGGTCGGTTTTGTAACCAGGAGGGTGGAGAATGAAGACTCCGAGGCAGGCGGGTTGGAGATAAGGGTTCGACGGCCTTTCCCAGCTTGTTCGGACGCTTCCTCTGCCGCATCGCTTATAGCAGAGGTCGCTCGGGGTTGTACGACCTCCTCCCTCGCAGCCCAGATGCCTGCAGAAGGGACAAGATAGTGTGTATCTAGGTTGGTCTCGTTTGGTGCTCGAGCTGCTTGTTCGAGGCAGCAGCGGACTAGAGCACGTTGTTCGCCCTGAGCGAGGAAAGAGGGGAGGATGACAAGCCCTGTTAGTGTGGACTGTTACGAACTCATACACATGATTGGCCCAGAGGTTGCTTACCAGGCACAGAGGGGACCACGTACCCCTTCCCCTTCCCTCCTTGCAAGCTGATCTCTCTCACCTCGCCTTCCCCCCTACTCCCTATCCACCAACCCCTGCTGACCTCCCCCTTCCTCTCCTCTTCCAGCAACGCCGAATCCAGTGCACCCCTCACATCGTCAACAGGCGGCGGGAACCGAGTCTTGAACTTCTTTTCCTTCTCCCTGAATGCCGAGTGGGCAGAAGCACGCGGTTGGAGTGTGCGCAGGTGTTGTCGCAGCTGGTGCCGATAGCGCGCGGAAGTGGTGTCAGGTGGGGAAGAGGGACGTATGGGCTCCTCAGGGGGTGGCATAGCGCCCCAATTGTTTTCGTCAGTTTTCGATCTCCTGCGTTGCACGATCTGTGAGTTCCGAGAATGTCGTTCCTGCTTCGGTGGAGGGTCAGTTGACTTCCCTCGACACACTCCAACCGGCAGAACCTGTCAAGCCGGTCAAAAGAAGAGAACCGCTCACCGAGAAAGGAAAGCGGTCGTCCAAATCGGGGTTGATAAGCCTGACGTGTGTGGGTGCCGACGGCGGCCGCTGTTCTAACTTTGGGGTTGTGCTAGCGCCTCGGACGGGACCGGTTGGGGTTTATGCGCTCAAGCGGCCTCTTGGGTATTTTTGCTAAATAGTGGGGACACTGACAAACTTGGGGATATCGACAATTTAGAGATGGTGGTGGCGAACAAGTGTTGAGAAATTTCAATGTTGACCAGAACAAGTCACGGTGAAAGTGGACATGAAAATGGATCACGTGAAAAGACAACCGTGAAAATGTGATTGGGCCGCGTCTTGCCGTTCCTGCTCTTCCCAAGCTCGCACTTCATTTCACACACTTTCTGAACTCCTTATATGGCCTTCGGCTGCCCTTATCCAGCCTTCGAAGGTTCTGCCGCTCTCGAGAAACGATTGCTCAGGGCCTCCAGCTCGAGAGTTTGAGAGAATATTACGGATTATTACCTCTAGCGAGGATGGAGGAGATGGTGACGTGTCTCCCTCTTGTGAGAGAGATTAGATATTCTCTCCTCCAAGTTTTCATTGTCAAGCGAAGGAATCCTGGGTTGCCGCGGGATCCGCGCGTGATCCTCCCCGCGATCAGCGCAGCTCATGCTCACAACGAGGTGGGGAAGCTGTTCTCGCTGGGTGGGTAGATGGACGTGCGTGGGGAGATGTGGAGACAAATACCTGGAAGAGGGATTATGCCAGCTCATCCTTAGCGTGTAACTAGGAATCCTCCTGGTGGGGAGATATACTGAGAACTTGCAGGTTTTCAGGAACTCGGAGATGGGAGGTACGTGGGCGGCGTTGGGAAGAGCCGTCCGGGGTAGTGGATCACCTGAGGGAACGGAACTTCGACTAGCCGGTTATCAGAATATCCGTTGGGCGCGAGTGTGAGTGAGAATTACTACGTTTTGCGGGTCCCTATTATACACCCGGATAGGTGAGGATAGATTAGCTATTGTAAATTAAATATTAATGGATGTTAGTCCTAATTCACCATAGGATTGCTTTGGCTAACAGTCACAGCCAATCTATCCTTGAGGGTGTCAAGGAGTCCTATTCTGTTCTATCCTGTGTTCTCAGATAGGACTCTGTCCAATATCCAGGTATTCAAATATGCACATGCCCTTACTTTGATTATGGTAACCTTCCATCTTTCCAAGCTATGCATGACTGTACAGCAATATATTATTATTATTACTATATTATTCCTTTTTCTCCTGCCCAGAAAATTCCCCATTCTTCCTCTTTCCCTCTCTCCTAGTCAACCAGCATGCAAGACAGTGCCATCTGCAAACTTGCCAAGCATGCTGGTCTATCTTTTGCAGATACAAAGGCAATGTTAGAGGATGGGAGTGAGGATAATGAATCTGACAGTGAGTGAGTATATATCTTGTTCCCTTCAGAGTCCTCCACTCACCCCATGTGCAGTTCCAGTACTACTAGTGAGGTTAGGCAGGCATCTACCCAGAATGCACATAGTAGCACTTCCACTACCTCTGGCAAGGGTGATCATGAGGGTACTGGCAGCTCTACAAATAAGCAAGTCAAAAACACCATGGACAAGATGATTGCATGCATGGAGAAGGCTGAGATTGACCTTGTCTGACTGCAGACAAGCCACCCACCCTCATGTAAGAGGAGACAACCTACAAAAAGGAACAAGAACTGGTTGGCAGGCAGAGAGGGAGATGGATGGGAAGAGGATGGTGGATTCAGTGACAATGACAGGTACCACAATATTGTGGATGTTCCTACAGGCCAGCTCACAGATGATGCTGAGCATGATCTCTGCAATTTCCTGATGGTAAGCTCTCCCCATGACTACACCCCACCTCTCTCCAACTCCTCCACTCACTTCTTAACAGGGGCTTGTATGTCGCAAGATGTACAAATGCATTGGAAAGCAGAAGGGCATGCCCTTCCCTAGCAAACACAGTCCAGTTGCTCCCCCTATTGAGGGTCAGGATGCTCCATTTCTTGTCCCTGACTTCCATGAGAACATTGACTTGCCTGACAATGTCTGCATCCAAGCCTGTGCTGCTCACTCAGTCCTAGATAATCATATGGTGAGTCACTCCAGCTCTCCCCATGACTACACCACTCACCACTATCAGTCTAATCCCTTGGTCAACAAATGGTTTGAATCCAGTTGGATGCAACTTCATGTGCTCCAGAAGTTAGCTCACAAGAGCTTCAAGAATATGAAGCATACTTACTGGGATCAACAAACTGTAGTGAATATGACAAAGAAAGCCATTTGTCTCCTCAGCAACAAACATGCTGAGTGTCAGGGCACTGCCTATTACCACCCCTGGCCATCCATTTTGCCCTAGGAGCAATGAAACAACAAGCCCCTGGAACTTCCTGTGCTGGTAACTGCCTTAGGATGATGGCAGTGGCCATACAAGACATTGTGCAGAGGACACCACAAGACTGCTGTGTCCAGACACTTGGGGTGAGACATAGTGGTGCTAAAGGCCCCTACTGGGAGTAGTGGGATGCAAGATGACACTTGTAGGAGTCTCCACAATTTATTGGAAAGGTTTGGGAGGCCTAGGGGTGTTGCTAGGATGTCTATCTGATACTTGTAGGAGTCCCCAAAATTTACCTGGACTCCTGGGCTTCTGGTGAACACCTACAAGGTATATGAACAGTAGTACAGTGACACTGTATCCCTCAAATTTGATCTCTGAGGAAACTCCTTAGTCTACAAGCAGTTTCTAAGTCATCTCATTGTCTTGAACCCCCTTCTACACACACCTGAACACCCTGCTCTCAGAAACCTGCCTTGACTCCACAACTCTTCCTACACTTTTCAGCTATCTATAACTGACTTATAACACCCCCCAGGACCCCCCAGTGACCCCCTTGGACCCCCCCAATAAGCCAGCTGGCCCAGGTGACGTGGATATCAACTAGTACTGCTGGTTAGAGCCACTTTCAACCACAGTAGACCCCCCAGCACTTCATCTATTGTTTGGGATTAGTGTGTGGTGACCTTGCTAGACCTAGTGCCCTCACACTGAGTGATGGAGAATGGTACTTTCCTTTTTTGCCTGATGTCCATAACATGAGGCTCTGACATCTTGTGTAGTGCCTCAATTGTGTACAAGATGGCTTCAAAATATTCACCCAAAACAATCCAGACCTTCAGCTTGATGTCACTGCAGTCTTGAACAAGCTCTTTCACAAGGACTGGGTTGGAGATGAATGGTCAGGAGATGAAGATGGAAAGCAGACTGACACACACTATGCCCACATGGCTTTGGCACTCAAGCTCACCAAAGAGCAGAAGGAACAGTGCATGTTCAAGTTGTGGGAGCTCTGTTGCCCTGTGTGGATGAGCCTTGCAGTATGTCCAACCAGTTGTCTTGCCTAGATGTTCACTTACCAACTTCTCAGTGGTGGCAATGGCTGCAAACACTCACTCAGCTCCAGTGGGACAGCAAGGTGGCACATAAGCAGGACACATTACAAGTTGATCTCAGACACACCACCAAGCACATGCCATTGATGGATTGCATGCTGTTTGACTTCATGCTTGATCCTGATTGGAAAGCAGAGGAAATGACACAGTATGAAGATGACTTTTCTCCAAGATCTTCTCTTCCTCCTTGTCTGGCCAGTCAAGGTGATTGCATTCATTCTCTCACAGAGGTCAACAAATCATATGTTCACTCCAAGTACCACATAAATTAATTCTTTGTATTGTTCAGTAAAATATCCAGTGTTCAATGGCCCAAACTTACTTAACTACATTGATGTAGTAGTCAGGAGAGCAAAGCAGTTGTCCCACACATTTACATTGCTCAGCCAGACTAGGTCACCCATGAGTAATTTCCTCATCTGTGTTTGGTCATACAAGATCTGCTCACCTTGCTCAAGCCGACTGTCACATGAACTGTGTCTGTCATCATAACCAGCACAACATTCAAATTTGGACCTTCTTCCAAATCACACTCCATGTCCTCTTTGCTGAGGTCCTGAACCCACTTTGGAACCATTGTGGTAACCTCAATCTCACATTGTGCTGCCATTCCATCCAGCTCACTTGCCAACACCAGCTTGGGAGGACCTATCTCTTCATCTGTTCAATACTGGCCAGGTGTCCAAAATTCAATTTTGAGTTCATGGCTGCAAATAGAAATCAGCAAGATGCATACATGCAGCAGCATACAGAAGAGGAACACAACCCATGGTGTGAGAGGACAAGTGACATAGTTGTGGGTAGAGCAAGAGAGGAGCAGTTCAGTTGTGGAGAGGGTTGTGGGGAGGGCTGGATATAGGAGGGGCGTAGTCATGGGGAGAGCTGGAGAGAGGAGGGGTGTAGTCATGGGGAGAGCTGGAGTGAGGAGCAATCAAGAGACAACCTACTATTTACAGTATACCTGTGCATAGGCAACATGTTGTCAGTCTTCATAAGGCTGAAGCCAATTGACCACAGCAAATGTGTTCTCCTGGGGTAAGTTTGCCTGGCAGTGCACAAAGACCCCTTGAAGTTCTCCAACCCACTGTGTAGCATCATGCAATCAATAGAGCACAAGGGAGCTGGACTTGTTCTTCTTCAGCTCTTCAACTGCAAAGACCTTTTGACCTTCAAATTCCAGTCCCAGGTAAAAGTCTGCAATTCTATTCAGGTAATGAGTTCCTCAAGGAGCAGGACCTCATAGAGGGTGCTGAACATTGAGATATAGAGGAATGTCTCTGTACCATTTGTACAACCTTGAGTACAGAGTGTCATCTAGGTCAACAGGAGTTGGCTTGCCTACTGCAAAGAAACTTGATCCAGGAGATGAAGTATGTCATTGCTCGTTCAGTTCTTGGGACAGCTCAGCAAGCATGCCTAGTCATGCAGTGTTCCTAGCTCATCCCTGAATTTGTTGAGCTACAAAATGACCAAGATCATCTTGCTTCTGCTCAGCCATTGAATCAGCCTTGGAAACATTAGAGAATGTATTATCTATATCAAGAATGTGCTTTACCATCCTATACAGGGCAGCCTCACATGTGAACTCATGTGCAAAGGTGATCTCCAACATCCCATGCTTATGCCCATTTGTCTCAATGGATTTCAATATTTTGTTCAACCTTTTGAACAGAAAGGTCCAGAATCCATTAAGAGTACTGAAGAGCCATATTTGGTCAGGCATATGCATGAGCCAATGAAACATCAGGGTCACATTTTCAGATCCATAGATCTAAGATAATATCAGAGTGGTGTAGTTGTGGGGAGAGCAGAACATACTTTTATGAACTCCCTATAGAAATCGTGATACAGCAAGGTGGCTCGATTGATTTTGTGGTCTGACAGCTCCCAGTGGAGGAAGATCTTCATTGCCATTGCCATTTTGAGAAAGTCATCGGCTGCCTTGGGTGAGACTCTTGGTTTTTTGTCTTCCTTGCAGTCTTTGGCAGCTTGACTTAGAACAGGAGGAAGCTGTGTTTAATTTGAGCTTCATGGGGTGGATAATATTGTGACTTGCTATGTACAGCAGCTGGACCATAAAGAATGGCCAATGACTTTCACTTGTCTGAAGTCAGATTGCCTGTGGAGGGATGTCCCACCTCTGTGGGCAGCTTGGCATACCAGTTTGGCATTTCAAACTATCAAAATGCCATTCAGTCATCAGAAGCATTCAAGATTGCTTTACTTACTGCACACAGTATACCATGGAGCTCAGAGAGCTCCTTATCTTGACTGCTCCACAACACTGACTCTAACTTGAGCTTACCCCCTCACACCCATACTGAGTACCAAAGAGTGTGAGTCAAGCCAAGAAGAAGCAAGTGCATCAGGTCCACCACACACATTGAGATAGGATCGAAGTAAGGAAGCCAGTGGAACTCAGACCAGCATACACCATATTGTGTAAAAAATCTGTCCGCTGTCTTCTTGTTGGAGAAGTCTTGCATTGTTTCTGCCTTCTCTTTGTGAGCTGGACCATATCTGGCTGGAAAACAGGTCCAGCCATTGCTGCCCAGATCCACATGTGGAATAGTGCATTTTGTGCACAGCACTTTCTTGTGTGAGTGGTCTGCAAACCCTCCCATCTTGCACATTGCAGGATGATCACAAACAATGGCAAGAAGAGCCACATGCACTCGCCAACCTAGATAAGGGTTAGTTTAGGGCATGTAATGGTGGAGAGCTGGTGAGAGGAGAGGTGTGTAGTCATTAGAAGAGCTGGAGAGAGGTGGGGGTACATACCATCAGGATGGAGAGGAGTTTGAATGATGACCCCCTGCAGGTACAACCTGAGTAAATCATCTACAACTTCTCTCAGGAATCATTGGAGTTGCTTGGTGTCAGGTTCCTTTGGCCCAGGCAGGACAGCAATCAACAAAAGGTTGTGCACTCAATAGCACAGGTGAGGCAGTAAATTAGCAATGCAGACAGAGAGTACACCCACAGGATGGCTCGGCAATGAGAATGGACTGAACCAATCCAGCGACAGGAGTATGCCTAGGTGTAGCTCTCATAATTTGTGTGCTTAGTCTCTATTCTTTGGAAAGAATGGCCTCCTGAGGGAATCTTGAAGATCTTGCCAGATTTGTCCATCCTGGAGACAAGTGTACATCCCCTGAACACTTGGGATATTGAGATAATTTTCATAAGCTTCCTCCATCTCATGTTGCTGGAGAAAGTTGCTGAGCTGATTGGATAGAAGGTCCAAGGGAGCTCTGCATCAGGCTCTTGGTTTGGTGGATCTGGCACTCTCCTCATATAACTTTGCATGGCACACATGACATTCCTGTTGCCATGCATGATCTCCTGTGATCTCAACATTGCTCTCCTCTGCATCCAGGTTGAATTCCTCCATCCCAGCTCCACATATTTGCTCTGGTTCCCAGCAGTCAGGACAAATTGTTTGCATGCAAAAGTGGTCCAACAACCTGAAATGTTTGTATACAGAGTTCAGTGTGCAGGGGGGCACTGGACCAGCACTACCTCCCCTGATGGACTTGGGTAAGATTCCAAAGGTTGGCAGGATAGCGTATAGTATCATGAGTGTCATATTGACTGCAGCATGAGCAATTGGTATCTTGCATGTAGGAACATCATTGCAAACACAAGGCACCCCATGGCTGAGTTAGGATGCACATTATGGTAGTGTTTCTCCAGGAGGTCGCCGCTGGCCCCTTGGACATCTCTTGTGTCCTAGGTGAAGAACACTTCCTTGGTGGGTAGTGCAGTCATGGGTAGAGGTGGAGAGACATATGGTTCGTTTGTGGGTAGAGCTGGAGAGAGGAATGGTTCAATTGTGGGTAGAGCTGGAGAGAGGATGGGTTTGATTGTGGGTAGAGCTGCAGAGAGGAGGGGTGTAGTTGGGGCAGAGAGGAGCAGTTTGGTTGTAGGTAGAGCTGGAGAGAGGGCAAGTAGTGTTGCAGTACTGGGGTTGGTTGCATATGGCCAGTCCTCTGCTTCCCATCCTTGATCATACCCATTCAAATCCACAACAGTCTCTGAGACTTGTTGTGAGTTGACTAAGCTTGGGACAGAGGGTTGGTGGGGCACTGAGTGCTTGTCTTGCTGATAAAAAGCTTTGGAGTCCACAACCCAGCTTCACCCTTGGGGACCACTGATGCATATACAGCAAGAGCACTTGCATCGGATTGTGCCAGACATGTCAGCAGATGTTGCATTCACTGTCCACATGGCTTTCTTGAGAAACTGGACATGTATTGAGTGCATAGACCTTGGCTTGTGCAGCATCTCTCATCAAATGTCTGGTACTCAGAGTACTAGTACTACTGAGTACTGCTGTAGTGTGTAGTCCCATTAATCACTACCTCACTCTGGGAGTCCAGTATATTACACACCTTGGCCAGTACTAGTACTAGTACCAACATCCTCCTCAACTCTACATCCCTAGCACCATCAAATGCAAGTACTCCTGGTCAGCCTATTTGCTCCAACTGTCTAGATGGTTTCCATGGCATAACCTGGCACATTGTTTCAGGGGTCCATGATCCTCAAATTAATGGGTCTGGATCTTATTGAAAGTACTTGGAATCAAGCAGTTTTTCAAGAGCTATCCACAAGGATGAACAGATCTGGAAACACCCAAGATGAGAAAGAAGCCTGTCAAAAATTTTCTTTGATCTGGCAAAGTGGAAAGGCCTAGGATAGGTCAAGAAGCATGCACATGTGCCATATGACCTGATGGGGGAGGCGAAATAGATTGGGCTGGGGATCAGGATAGCTGTGCCAGACCTGGCCATTGGAATATGGGATGAACAAGTGTATTAACAATCAACAAGCTGGCCCTACAGGCCATTTAATACATAGGGTCACTGGAATGCAAATGAGCAACATGAAGTGTGTTGTGATTGCCCTGTGATACATACAGGATTGATATATTGTGGAAGAGAGGCAGGCATTGGAGGGGAGGAGTGTCAGGCATTACTTGACACCCAACACAAGGAGTGAGTGAGCCATGCAAACATGTTGCTCTGGGAGTGACAAGGGAGCGGATAGTTGTCACATTTGTGATCAATGATGTTGTGTTTGCTGGTGGGAACAGCCAGATACCCATGATGTGCATGGGTTGTGACAGTAACACCACTGGACAATCCTCTAACCCTTGTACAGGTACTGTTACTAGTACTGTATGAAGGTGGAGTACCTGGACAGGTGTTTCCAAACCCCTGCATGATCTTGCCGGTGCCAGTCAATGCACAAAGTCAAACCTCATTGACAGAAGGTATGCCAAGCTGAAGTGCCTCCATCTCCTCACCATTCCAAAAAGTGGGTATTTTGAACCTGGACAGGTCTGGTTCAGGCTCAGGAACTTGGGTAGGGGGGGGGGGGGGGG